ACATAGAAAAACATGTTTCTTAAAAATTTGAGTTTCCATCTGATCTAAATACACATATAAATGAGTATTCTATTTCATTCAGTACGAGAATCGGAGAGTGATGATAAGCCATCACCGCCAACGAACGTCGAGCGCCACTTTTACTTCAATATGACTTTAATTATAAAATCGTTGTGGTCAGAAAAATCCTTAGCCTGTGGAATAGATATTTGTTCTTCAGGATGATAGGATGCCTGACATTGGTAAAAATATCTTTTTTTGCCAGTTTATAGTTCTAATTTTATTGAAAAAACTTAATGAATATTTGTTCTTCCAACATTAACTCATTTTATTTCTAATAATTTATTCTTGTTAGGTCAATTCATTTCCTAGCAATTGCAGAATATGATATGATACTCATCTTTTTAAATTTACTTTGTCGATTGTTTAAAAAGTATCTACAGATAGCTTCTTCCAGATTTAAATGATCTAAAATTCTGCGAAATCAGACAATTTGTATCGTGTAATACTACCAAAAGTTCACGATAAGGTGACTAGTTTTTTATTTTTTCAGTAAATGACGTTTCTTGTCGCGGTTTTTTCATGGGTCCTAGCAAAAATTCCATCTTCGGATTGAATGTTGTGTGTAAAGTAACCATAGATCCATATAGTGTCATCCATCCTCCGGTATGTTTAAGGTAAATTGAAAACAGTAATTCTGGTTTGATGATAGGCAACTTTACTCATCGATTGAGAATTTTAAACGATGTGAATTATAGCAACGGTGAGGCGCTACTTTAATAGTTTGATAATGGTCAGTGGAAATAGAAAGGGGTTTATTCGCATAAGAAGGAGGGTCACCATTTCACTCAGGTTGAGAGAATTTAACAGAAAACAATTGTCACCAAAATTGGCTACCATTAAAAAAAGATCGAAATTTTTTACTAATAGAAGTATAATAGAGCATCTTGTCTATGAAAGCTAGTGGAGCAAAACAGTCCGAGAGGGGAGATAGGGATGTTACAAGTCTACATTATATTTTGTCAAACTTTGTCATGGTTGTTTGAAGTATGACCACATGGAAGTTTTTGGAGTCGCTGGAAATGCATATGACATGTTTCTCCACAAAATAAGATATTAGCGAGCTCTGTATGATTTTAATTTGTAATTGTTCTCATTCAGAATTCAGAATTGATTGATTTATTCTCATTCAGAAACCAACTCGTAGCCGAGTCTCGGCTCGGTAGAAAACATTAGTGGAACAGATACAGAATGCGAATAAAAGAACAGTCAGAGTTCTACGACCTCTCATTTTATAGAAAAATATTTACTCTCTATATCGACATACTCAAAAACAAATCTTGTCTCTTCCGAATTCCTAAATCCATCAAAAAAATAAGAAGATTTGTTTTCTATCAAAAGTTAAACAAAGATATACGAGTTTCAAGTTTGGTTAGCCTGATCAGCTGCCGAGGATAAAGGGTTAAGTGTTATTTATCGCTAACTTTAGCAGATATACAAAGTTTAGATATACAAGTTGGACGCATTTTTCCAAAAGTGGGCTCCACCCATTAGCGTACCGTGAAGAACAAAAGATGACGAAAATTTGTTTTTTGCGTCATTCGAACAAGCTTAGAAGCCACTTTCATTTGATCATTTGATTTCTTGTTCTTGCTATAACATTTTCTATATTGTATACAATATAGAAAATCAAAATTAATAGATAATAGTTAGCCCTTGTACCTTACATTTCTTGTTCATTATTGTCGACATAAATGTTTTCTCGTTTCAACTATCATTTTTGATTTCGAAAGATGTTCGAAATTAACACATAATAAGTAACATATATTGTTTTTCATTACTTTTCTCTAAATTCGCTAATTTTGTTATCAGCAGATGATTATTTTTCTAATCGACTTGTTTCTTCTTCGACAACCGAATGTACTTCAGCCATTGACATTTTTTTATAATTATTGAATCGAAATTTGTGAAACCTTTTCCCATGAGATGGTTCAGTATATTTCAGCTGACGCAGTAAAACGTTGAACTCTGCATTAGATGAACTTGTCAATGGATGTCAATAATCAAACTTCGATTTCAATGAGTTGTCCATGAACATAAACGGACGTCGATAGGAGTTCGTTAAAATAGACAGAAAAAATTGTCTATGAAGATCGTAGGTAAAACGTTGATGCCCAAAGTTTGGGAAAATTTAGTTGAAAAATATGCTTCTAACATCATTCTGATGTTCCTCCTTTCATCAACGAAATGCGGCTGCATTAAGATCACATCCAACAGATCAAACAAAGATCTTCGTCATACTCAACAAAGACATTGATCGACATGTTCAATTTAAAACAATATAAGATGAAATCACCACCAAACTTGCACAAAACTAACCGAAACTGCGCATTCAGTACAGTATCAAAGTCTCAGAAGTGGTGGTGATAAAAGAGGTAAACATTGGATTAATGTATGCAAATCAAACTAGATACACAGAATCAATTGCATTCTCTATCGATTCTATCCTTCTACATTCTTTTTGTGTGTCAGACGTTTCAGAAAATTGGCTTCTTTCATGCTGAGATCTACAGTTTTATCGAAATTAGTTTGCATTAAAATACTCATTATTCTGGAACCGAAAATCGTCTCTAGTAGACTTATATATCATAAGAGCAGAGGTTTCCCTTTGAAAATCACAGATGTGTTAAAAGTCTTGTTTTTTCAGAACATTTGAAAAATTTTTTGAAAAATGAAGAATTTCAATACCAAATCGTTGAAGGTAATCTTCATATCATTGATAGACCTTTCTCTAAATTAAGTTTTATGGAATTTGAAACGGTTGTAGAAACCAAATTCGCTACAGAGAGGGGAAAAAACAGAAATTGTTCTATTCTTTTAATGAGTAACAAATAATCACTTAATGTAAACTCACACGCTTCAGATGGCACTTGGACACCTGAAATCAGTTTTTGAAACTGTAGAAAAATGAATTATATCCCGGTATAAAGTGCATTTCATTAGTGTCAAATGAGAATCAATCATTTACTGATAAATCCTTGCCAGTGGAATACTCAATAAGCTCTGAACAATTGATATTTATAAATGTTTGCGTGAGAAATACTCGATCAGTTCAACACACGTCTATAACGCATACATCAATTTTTCCTCCCAAAGTTATATGGGGTTAGAGACTAAGAACTGGTAGGAGTATCAATTCATAAAATAGTCAAGATAAGTTAGAGACATAAAATTCTTCTATAAATACAAGCGTCTTTAATCAAAGATCACTGATTGTCCGTATCCTATTATTATTATTACAACTGAATTATTCATGAAACAATTTACCTCTTTTTAAGCTGTCATGTAAAAGATCTCAGCGTCTAGAATTACAAGTTTACCATATCCTCACGAGAGAAAGCCACGTTCTGACGAAAAAGAATCTGTTATGGCCTGAATTTTCGATCGAAGTTTTGAACGGGAACTGGACCTCTAAAATTCCCCGGTCGAGTTTATAAACTTATCTCGTTTTTTGGTTTAGCGATGAAGCCGATCTTTTTATGCCACTCAAGACAGAACAAAGATATGCAGCGCTTTTCTTTTTATATATCAGTTCATCATTTAGATGTGAAAAGAAACGTTCGGCGAATAGATTTCTTTCTAAGATAAGTGAAGCATTATCTCGAAGTTCGATACACTGTAACGATCGATTCCCGTCTGTATCGATGTTGTTTTGAGATCATTTTTTATTAAGAAAAACACAAAAGCAAAAAACAACAGATATTTTTTGAAAATCCAATTGTCCAAGATAAAAATTGAAACATAGTTGTCATTCAGACTATGCCATTTAGACTATAAATGTGTAAAAAATCAAATTTGTTAATATGCAAAGTACCGATTATTTTGCGTAAGAATTTTACTTTGTATTAGGTTTTTCTTATGCAGAAAAAAAGAATTAGTCAAAGCAAAAGCAAGCTTTATTATATAACTTGATCAAAGAGAAAAAATTTCAACCATGTCTTAGAGATATAAGATACTTTAAGAAGAGGTTTTGAAACACACTGCTTAATGACATAGATTCATTTAGTTAATGTTAAACTAACAAAAATTTGAATGACAAATGCAGAATGGATTAAGAGAGAGAGAGAGCGAGAGAGAGAGAGAGAGAGAGAGAGAGAGAGAGTCTAGTAGTAAGTGAGTGAAAAATAAAAGTGAAAATGCCTTAAAGCTTAAAAACAAATAAAATTTTTCTATAAAAATGTATCACATCAATTTTTTTGTACGACTAGATCGACACGTGTTTGATGCAAATAGAGACTAATTTTTCATAGGATAAACAAGAAATAAGACAAACCAAAGCACAGAAAGAAAAATCAATGAAATAATTAATCGTCAATGAAAAATGAAAAATGTGGCGAATGTTTTAAATTTTCAGGGTGTACATATTAGAAAGAAAAAACAAAATTAGGATGATAGAAATAAGCATTACAAGACAAGACAAGACTTGTTCGTATATTCAGTATTCTAAACTAAAAACAACACTAAAAAAACTAGTGGAGAAGAAGTATTTTTGTGAATCGAATATTGCTTTCTATAGTGAGAGATACAGCAATAATACAGACAACAAAAGGAAAGAGAGAAAGAGGCAGAATAAAAATAAAAACCAAAAAAAGGTTAGGTATAGGGAAATATGAAGTAACAAAACTAATACATCACAGCATTTAATTTTTTGGTTAGATACTGACACACAGGTAAAGCACACAAGAAGAACTACATAAAACAACGTTTAGAAAGGAAGAACACCGAGTATTTTAGATTTGGACGTATGTTAACAAAAACAGAACAATATGAGTATTGTCACTCTTTGCCACGTTTCATTCTGAGAAAAAATCTCCATTAAAAAATAACCTGACATTAGTATCATCTTACAAATACAATACATATTTAAGAGTAAAGTGGTAAGTTTTTGAATTTTGATTTTATAAAATTTTGATAATCAATCAATTGCTAAAACTTGTTCTTTAATCATGTTTAATGTAACCATTGGATTGTTTTTTTTGTGCCGATTCGTGAAATGAAACACGTTTCGTTGGTGTTGTTGATGTTTTTCTTTTTGATGGCTTTAAATAGGTTTTAATAAAAAAGTCGGAAAAGAATAAGAGAAACATAACGGCATAAAGTCCAATCCAGTAGACGAATAACATTGGATATTGACACTTGATGAAAAGTAATTGACTTGAATGAATCATTACCATGATAAATTGAAGCTAAACAATACAAAAGTGATGTAAAGAATTTCAGATAATGAATGGTCGAAATACCAGAGAGGAAAAATTTTAATAAAATCATTTTATTTTGTTTATTTTTAGATGTCACAAATAAAAACTGATATTACTTACCATTTGCATTGATGTCATATATTTTTTCCACCACAAGTATTTTTGAAATCTTGGTCCCAAACTTGCTAATCCATAATACAAGTACATGATAAAATGTATCAATGAGTTTAATAAAGCATGAAATGTTCCAAATCCTCCTGGTACAAATCTCACACCAAACCACCAAGAAATGGGCATAATACCATGATGTAAAACATGTAGAACTGTTACTTGATGAAAATTTTTTCGCATGATAAAAAATATCTTTGAAAAAAATGTATTCAATACAAAAAAAGACAATATTATAAAAATGAGAACACTTACCGTATCCATTAATTCAATAAATTTGCTTATATAAAATAGATAACATACACGTGTCATCTAGAATATACATCATACTATTTCTATAGGCTGTTTGAGTACATTATATCCTAGAGGATGTTTCCTCTTTATCGAAAGAAATTTCGATTTTGAGTTACACATAGTTTAACCCTTGTACTACCAAGCCTATAGATAATTTGTTTTTTGAACTTTTCTTTCACACTAAGAGGTACGGACCTGATTCAAATGATGATATAGATGGTACGGGAGGCCGACTATAAGATGTACTATTTGTTTTAGAAACTGATAGAGCGTGAAATTCTTTATCGATTGGTGTATTTTCTTTCATTTTAACGCAAATCTTTTGGTTAGGAAATGCGAAATGCTGCAAAGCGCTCAAAACATATTTTCGCTAGGAAAAACTGTTTTAATTATGAAAAATCTATATAGACAGACAGAGTCCGCTCCTATAGTACATCATGTAGCCGGTCTCTCGTACTATCTATATCACCATTTGAATCAATATGTTTGAAAGTAGAAAGATACCAAAATATTTCCGTTTAATGTCTGTTTTCTGCAGTGGGGTCCATTTGGACCCCGCTTGATAGCACAAGGGTTAATGTAGAGGAAAGCGTAGACTTTCTACTATTATTTTTGAATATGATTTTTTAAATTTTTTTTTTCGAAAAGTTAAATACACTTTTTTTTGTTTCATAAACTTTTCTCTCGTTTTCTGAATCTTGAAAATATTTTCTTATGCATAGTCTAATAGAATAAAGTGTTCTCTTCACAATGAAACGTCTTCCAACTATTCCGATAGTTCTTCATGGAGATATAAGCCTCCCCACAGATGCCTCCAAAAAAGTACCCTGTCTAATGTTATTTGCAATACTAAAATGATAGTTAACCACGAGCGGTTCCAGTTCTGTCATATTACGAGCCCTTGAAAAAAATGATCCGATCGATTCCAAATTATTATCGCAGATATTTCATATCCTATCGCCGGTGATGAATATTTTTAAGCGTTTTTAAAGTCAACTTTCGGCGTGAAAAGATTTTTAAAATCAAAAGTCGACTTTTTACGCAAGATTTTCAGTGTTTTTCGAATATTTCGAGAAGAAAAGCATATTTTGTTGAAAAAAGAAATTTAGAATTTGAGATAGGATCTGAAGTGTCTGTAGTAAAAATTTCAACTCAATCAGACCATTTTTCCGAGGGCTCGTAATGTGGCTGGTGAAAACCAGAGTTTTCCAAAAAAAATCCATAGAAGAGCATATCAGAAAATTTTCGGCAAAAATACATCGATTTTCTTTTTCAATATTCTATCTTTAGTATAAATTTGAAGTCAATCGGATCTTTGATTCCACCTTTTCAAACAAGATCAAAAAACAGGGATGGGGGATATCTTTAACCTACCCGTATTGCTTGTGGTGTCAATGAATAATCAACCGGTTGACATGCTAAAGAATATCCCGCTAACCATCCAGACGCAAGAAACTAGAAGAATAATAAAATATGTCTAAATTAATATATATGAAAAAGATGAAGTGCACTTAAATTACCTCATAAAAAAGATATCCGGATAAGGCTACCATCAGAAAATTGTATACGAACAATATATTACGGATATTATATGGTTTTCGATCTTTCATGAATGCTGGCCCCAATAATACAAATATAAGATATCCAAGACAAATTAGTGCTGTTGGTACGGGAGATGACATCATAAAGAAATCCGCTGTACGAGGATCTTTGAAAGAATGACAAATATTTCATATAAGAATAAATAATATTCTTTTTAGATTTTCTACTTACCACTATAATTTGATTTTGTAACTTCCCATTGAAGTGAATATTCTCGGATAGTTTCCATTATTCTAGTAACACCAACAAAAATATCTGAAAATATATAATATATTTTGAAAATATTTCATTATTACTTTATGACTCGTTAATGTAAAGCGTCAGTATAATCATACAGATTGCACTCATAATAACTTTGAAAAGAAAAAACATTTTGAGCAAATATTTATCATCATAATCAAGTGTCGTATTTCAACAGATGATTTAAAAGTCAAAAGAAAAAACAGTTCATTTTAGCAGATGATATTTCAATTATACATGATAAAATGAATAAATAGAACTTTTTTTGTTACGGAAACGTCAAAAATATATTGTACATGTGAGATTTAAATTTAACTGCTCATCATCTTTTTTTGTTGTCAAAAAAGAAAAATTAGTTTCTTCACTAACATAAAACCTAATATACTTTGCTCTAAACTATTGAAAAAGAATTAAAAATCGATTACTCTTTTCGAAGCATACGAACATTAGATTACGATAAATGTGATACAATCGGGAACAGTTAGTTTTTAATAAAAGATTGTAATATTCCAAATATAACATGGAAAGTTAATTCAACTTCCTCATACTCTAACCAACCGTTTATACAAACTCAAACATCCTGTTTTGAAACATATTAAATAATAAGAGAGACCACGCTTTAGTGAAGTGGATCTTTTCTAAACAATAGAGAATACAATGAACATAGAAAAAGAAGATTATTATTTTTTTTTTCTTCTTCTGAATAGATGCAAAGAATGAACACAAAGAAAAAGGCACTATTAAAACCGTAAAAATATCATCAACAAGAAAAAAACCTTGATAAGACACAAAAATGTATTTTTCCAAATGTTATGATTAAAAAAAAATTTTAAAAAACTAATTACAAGTTTTTTTTTCTTCTTTTTGTCGAATGATTTTAATTGAATGAAAAAATATAGGACTCTAAGATTTCACTTATATATATCATTAGAAAAAATTCGAATGTATTCTTTAA